TTTACAAATGTCCTACATTTGCGAATTAATTATTTCTTAATATCATTCTTGTAGTTCTTCATTTTGTGTATGATTCAATAGGTTCCCAATCATGATGTCGAATGACGTAAATTATTGTTTTGATCTAATCAAAATAACATAAATTAAAAATCTCCATTAAATTTATCATTAATTCACATAAATTAACTAATTCAAATTCGTTGTCCCCAATTGACATCTAGCAATATATGAGGACAATACATGTAATAAAAGATATACGTGATTTGACAAAATCAAACTTGTTCATGTATCGTGAAACTATAAATATGTTCAAAGTATGATTTCATCAATTACGAGATATGGAGATGTGTCAATGTCGATTAATCGATTATATATTTTGTCTTGCTTTTAAGTCAATAATTGTCGAAACTCTTTTCAACTTACATGCCTATTTTGGCCAAGAAATTCTATGTTAACTTAAAAAGGATGAAATGTTGATCATAATCTCTTACTATCTGATTGTGGTGAATCATTTATTATCATTCACAATCTTCATATGATGCTTGAGATACCGGAATAACACCATAAATCAAACAATGCAGCAAATAAAAAAATTAAGATCATTTGACTGCTTAATATAACGACGACATAATTAAATTTGGGATTTATGGACCGAGAATTTTCTTGACAATGGTAATGTCCATTTTCTTGCCATGGATCCACAGTTTGTTTGCAGTTGCCATTGTTCTGGAAAGAAAGCTACTGCTATAGATTCTCTGTACCTAGCTTTTTGCTCTCTACTACTACTAACCAATAAGCAATGGAAAGAAACAAACCAATAATTCTCTGACTAAAGTAATTGTTGGAAAATTGGTTAGTTTGACCAATTATTTAAGTGGGTCCTGTTAGTTGGATAAAGATTTCCCTTGCCATTGTATTTTACTCCATGAGTAGATTAATGTATGTATTTATTTTTCTCAAAATAAATTAAGGAAGAATGAGAAAGTAAGGCCAAAAGATGACTACTTGAAGTTGAAATAAATTAGGAATAAAAATTGGTGAAAAATTGAAAAATGTCAATTCCACATAAGAAAACTTGAATAATAGAAACCACTTTATATTGCTCAAGTTTGAGACTTAGGTTTGGACCCTAAGGGTTACCAATAGTCTTTGAAGGGGAGATGATCTACATGCTAGTAAGCTGAGCCAAAATCCACGTGCGCACCGTGGCTGCCTGTCCATCCGATCGATTGGAGAAAAGTGGGTGGACATGAGAATAATAGGCATTGGGGATCACGATTCAAGGTTGACATCCTTGAATTTCAGAGTAATTATAGCTTAGAGAGTAAGTAAATTTGGATGACTGCGATTGAGGAGGTCCTAGATTTCAAAGAGGTTTCAAATGACAAACATATTCCTTGTTGCAACATAATTTTGTGGTCAAGCAGTGCGTGGTGGTAGCAGACCAAGGTAACAAGAATTAGAACCGAAAATAACAAGATTGCGAATTGGGATAAGTTGAAGAAACATATAAGAACTGCATTTTTATCGTATAATTACATATGAAAAATATCAAAATTTGCTTCAAGGTATTAAATTTGTCACTTAATATACTACGAAATTCTATGTTGATCACAAAGAATGATATTACATAGACAGAGGAGCATATAGTTTCTGGTTGTAGGGTGGTCAACTAGATTCAAAATAGTCTCAATATGTTTGATCCTGTGACAGCGTCTAAGTGCATCAGCGAGCTTTATATATTGAGAAGCAATAGTCCCAACAAACAAGTCCAGATCTTTCAATAATCTATACCAAGTAACGTTCAAATAGTTCCCACAAAATTGTTCCTATTAAATCAAATTCAAGTCAACAACCGAAAGCACATTTAGGTAGAGATTTTCTTTGTTACGGTTGTAATAGATAGGCTATAGGTAATCCGATTGCCTAAAAAACACTCGAAGTATAAGGTTTTTTACAATGAGCCCATCTGTGAGAGCTACTCGAATGAAGATTTGGTAGAGGATGAAAGAACATGTTGCAAGCGATGTTGGCCAATGTTGTGGTGCATTGGAATTACCTGACTCTCTATGCAAGTGATGGTGATTGACTACGTAACATCTCAATGTATAGTAGAAGGGAAAATTTTCGGATTCGTTATTAATAGATTATGGAAGTTATGAGACTATGGTGACTGAAAAAATGGTCAAGAAGTTAGAGTCGTAGACACAAAAGCATCCTAAACGATATAAGCTAGCCTAGTTGAAGAAATGCTTGGATGTCACGATGCCTCAATGTGCATTAATCAGTGTATCTATTAGACCTATATACAAAGATGAGGTCCTGTGCAATGTGGTTTGTATGGTTGCATGTCACCTATTACTGCGGTGACCTTTGGAGTTTGATCATCATTCAGTGTACGATGAATTTGTATTTTCCAATCCCCAAGCACCTTTATACAAGTCATGAATCGGTGCTTCGACCATTTATTAGTAAATTTGTTGTTGTTTATTTTGATGATATTCTGATTTGTGGTGCTAACCCTAATGATGATTGGGTTCTTATATTCCTCTATAGGGACAAAATTTATGATGCAATATCCAAGTGCTCTGTCTTGTTAGATCGTGTAGTATTCTTGGGATATGTAGTTTCGAAGGATGGGTTAGCAGTGGATACAACAAAAGTAAAGATAGTTCGGCCTTCATGGGGTGACCAAGTTGGTAGAGTAGGTGAGCGCGGAGGCCTTTGGTTATGAATTCGATTTCTCCTATCAATACTTTCTCGGTCGAGCCTAATGTACTGGACTTGCCTAGTGTAGTTTACCTGGCTAGCATGGTTTGCAGGCTATTGCGTCAACCCGAGGGTTTACCTAGTACGCACTCGAAGGGTAGTGACTGCAGGTTCTCCCATTAAAAATAAAAAAAAAGAATAAGAAGAAGAAGAAGATAGTTTTCACGATCTTGCTTTCTTTTAAAGAAGATTTATACCACACTTTAGTAGTATCATTGAACCTATAATAGATTGTATTAAGACTTGGAGGTTTCATTGGAGTCCTCTAGAAGACGAATCATTTAGGTTGATTAAATAGAAGCTGACTTCCACTCTTATTCTACTACAACCTTATTTTACCCAACCTTTTTGAGTTACATTGTGATGCTTTGAAGGTTGGCATTGGTGTAGTTCTTAGTAGACTGGTCGGCTTGTAGCTTATTTGAACAAAAAGCTCTCAGGCCCTAAGTTTCAATATAATACCTATTATGTGAAGTTTTATGCCGTAGTCTTTCAGTTCAACATTGGCACCACTATTTGTTTCAATAAAAGTGTGTGTTATATCTTAAACACGTTGTTACTCAAGATAAGGTGTTCGCTTGACATAAACTTGAATTGCATACTTGCTGCAGTTAACCTAAGGTAGGGGCATTGAACAAGGTGACAGTTGCATTAAAAGCAAGCGTTAATCTCTCTTGACGGAACTACGAGTAGAGGTATAAGTTTTGAGAACCTATGTGATTTCTATGCTTCTAATTTGTACTTTTTAGTAATTATTCAGAAGTTACATGAGGGTACACAGTTCGTTTTTGTGTGGGTTGACGATTTTCTCCTTAAAAGAAATTAATTATGCATTCTAGACAACGGCATGCACATTAAAAATATTGAGGAATTGCATAATGAAGAACACGTGTAGTTGTGATCGTACATTACAGGTTGTGGCCATATCCTACTATTGGCCAACGATAAGGAAGAGGTGATATATTTAGTGAGCTATATTGTACGTGGCTACGTGTCATCTTTCAAAGGGAAATACTATTGATGTGGTGTTGTGCATGCCACTACCTAATAACAACCCAGCATTTGATTGATTGAAGTATGGATTTTGTTTTAGGCTTTCCCTGGACTCAACGGGGCTTAATCCTATCTTTGTGGTAGTGGATCGTTTTTCAAAGATGATCCATTTCATTCCTTGCAAGAAGACAAAAGATGCAATGAACGAATTAGTGTGTTTTAGTGAGGTATATCGATTATATAGACTTGCTCATTCTATTGTATCTAACAAGGATACCCACTTTCTTAGTTACTTTTGAAGGAGTCTATGTTATCTGTTGAATTTAGTAGTGCCTACCATCTCAAAATAGATGTTCAAATTGAAGTGATGAACCATTCATTGGGAGATTTGCTACGTTTCTTGGCTGAAAAACAATTAAGTGTTGGGATTGGAAAATAAATCAAAGTTTGCTCACAACCATGGTGCGAGCAGAACACATAGGCTTTGCCCATGACTTACAGCCTGTTTCGATCCAATTCAATCATTTATGGCTCCGAAAACGCATTTTTCAGTATTCTGTATAATTTTCTTAAATTTAATAAGATTAGAATTTTAATTCTGTTTAGAGTTTGTTTTTTCTTTTATTTTATCATGATTTAGAGTTAGACATTATCTATAAGTTACTTATTATCCAAATTTTATCTACTGCTTTAAATATAAGTTGTAATCATTTTTTTTTCTCTCAATTGAATTTTAAATTACATAAAAAGTTCTGGGAAGTTTCTCAAATTATTTTCTATTTCTTGGCATATATTTGATCTTTTCAGATCTACAAGTTTGAGTTTTTGTAAAAAAATTGCTTCTCTATAAGCTTATACATACATCATCCCACACAACAACTACACACATCTACTAACAACACTAATTTACTTTTGCAAACTATTAATTTGTTAATTAATAATTAATATTAAGTTCCTACTCCACCAACAGTAAAAAAGAAATAAATAAATAAAAACAACAACTAATAATTAATGAATAACATACGAACACGTCTCTTAATGAGAGTTGACGGTCCAATGTATAAAAAATGTTGTAAATAGACGGTAAAAAAATTAGTAAACAGGCAGTCGCGACTGTAAAATAAGAACGGTAGATCTCACCTCGTCAATTTTTTAACTGGTTGATTACAAACACAAATTTGTAATATTCTCTTCTTATCCCTCCCTATATATATGCCACTTCATTTTATTAAGTTGTATAACCTACTAATTTGGAGAGAGAGAGAGAGAGAGAGAGAGAGAGGGGGGGATGGAATTGTATAGTGAACAGTATGGTTTCTTGGAGGAGTTACTAGGTCTAAGTGGTGAGCCTGATGCAGTTGGATTGAATCAAGAATTATGCACCAGTAGGAGTAATGAATGGATGGATTTTAATACTTTTACAAATCCAGCAACCACTACTTATACTTCCTTTCAGGATTACTCTCTACCTGTTGATCAGAGCAGGAGTTTCTCAGTTTTCAATGAAATCTACAGCCCATTTCAAGATGATTTATCACCTCCGCTTGAATTTCCTCCTCAACAACAAGATTACAGTATTAACTATTCTCTATTTGAGAAAGATGATATTCTTTCTCGGAATTTGGATATATGTAAAGTCGAACCATTTCAAGTAGCTGATCAGGTGCCCACTACTTTCAACATGGGCACTGTGTTCTGCCCGGAAACAAAGATTAACAAGCAGGTGAAGAAGCTTAATGGTCAGCCTTCCAAGAATCTAATGGCTGAAAGAAGGCGAAGGAAGCGCCTTAACGATCGCCTTTCACTGCTCAGATCAGTTGTTCCCAAGATAAGCAAGGCAAGTTTACCTTTTTGTGGGCAAATATTAATTTTTGGATCTAGACTTTTCAAGATGATTTCTTTCGACTTACCCTTTCTTATTATTATTTCCCCTTTTTAAACAATTTTTTTTTTTAACACGTTCTAACAGATGGATAGAACTTCTATACTTGGTGATACTATAGACTATATGAAAGAGCTATTGGAGAGAATCGATAACTTGCAAGAAGAAATTGGTGTGGGATCAAATCAGCTAACCATCTTGAAGGATGCAAAGCCCAATGAAATATTAGTGAGAAATTCACCCAAGGTACATATATCTACATTATTTTATTTTAAAATATATATGTAAAAATAATTAATACTATATACTGAATGTTAAATAAGTGAATGCAGTTTGGTGTGGAAAGGAGGAACGATGCTGATACAAGAATAGAGATATTCTGTGCAGGGAAGCCTGGCTTGTTGCTATCAACACTGAGCACTCTAGAGGCACTAGGCCTCCACATTCAACACTGTGTCATTAGCTGCTTTAATGAATTTGCAATGCAAGCTTCTTGTCAGGTAATTAATTAGTAAATATAAATATTTAAGCAGTTAGAGTTGGAATCAGGTTTAGCTAGAACGATTTCAATAAATAAGTGTGAATTCAAGTCTTTTGTTTGGCTTTGATACCATACTAGGCGTTGGGTTCCAAAAGACAACACAATTAATAGAAATAGTTAAAACCCTTATATATTGACTATTATTTTCGTGTTTGTCTAATAACAATAGTTAATTGTTAGTGCAGGAAAAAGAGCAGAGAGCAATTATAAGTTCGGAAGACGTAAAGCAGGCACTATTTAGAAATGCAGGATATGGTGGAAGATGTCTTTAATTACTACTAATTTGTGGTGTATTCTGAATCTGTGCATTATATAGGATTTTCTTTTCCAAAATCAGTGGTTTCTATAAAGGAGGCAAATAATTCCTCCCTTTTTTCCCTTACGCCATATCAAGAGCCAGAACCTAGTTTGTTATGTCTGTGTAGACTGCTGCTTTTACTTTTGATGCAATATTTATTTTTATGTTTTCTTATGTGCTCTGTGAGTTTATTTTCTTCATTTGTCATATGAGATGTTTCTCCCGATTAAACCTAAAAGTTGGAATTAACATCATTTTTTAGATTCATCACTCTGCCGTACTTTCACATAATCATACGTGTAATACCATTTCGGGGTTATTCTTTCGACTATAAATTTGAGAAGCTTGCTTTTGCATAGTTGGTGAATCCTAAAGAGAAAGATAAGTAAAAATACAATTCCAAACTTGCTCAATCTTTTTCAGAATTTTCTTCTTTTGAAGATTTTCATTCAGATATTTATTTTATAAAAATAAAGTCTTCAATCTCTTACAATTCCAAACTTGCTCAATGTTTTTCAGAATTTTCTTCTTTTGAAGATTTTCATTCAGATATTTATTTTATAAAAATGAAGTCTTCAATCTCATAGAAAATTACTTATCTTTCTTCTTAGGATAACTTCCTTCAAGGTCCGGTGTGGCTAAAACTCATTTTCCACATTATGAAATCTGTTGGCCATTCAATCTTGTGAGCTAGTCGAGATCTAAACTGACCTCGGAAGATTCCAGTTACCTGACACATCATGTTTATATTTTACTTGGCGAAACATGCTTTTAGCAACATGTTCCACTTTTCAATTCTCTTTTAGAGACTTTAGAGGAATACACTTATTATTTTGACCATTTTGAAATACCAGTATAAAAGTAAAGGCAAATCATTAATTATGACTAATTACCCTGGTAAAACCGTATCTATTAACAAACATATAAGAAAAAAAATGCCTCAATGAGATTCAAACTCAAAACCTACACAAGAGAAGAATAATCCACGTCCACAAACAAATAAGCTCATCCATCTGAAAATGAAACCCACAACAAGTCTCCTCCACAAGTTCAGTCACAACTTTCATTTTACAAAAATATTGCTCCGCTTACCATGAAACTTTGATCGTAGCAACTACTCATATTGACGATGTCATGTTTTCCCGAAAATGAGAGCCCATGAGCTCTAGGGTTGTAAGTGTTATGTCCTAAATCTAATTAACCTTGGACATAAATACTTTAATATATTATTAATACAACTTAATGACAGATCTATTATTTAATTAATAGACAATTAAATTAAATGATAGAATCCGTAAATTCAAACTTTCATAATATGTAAATCACAAGGAATTGTGATTGTGAGATACAAATTACATAAGATTAAACTAAAATCGTCCATGGTCGTAAATAATAACGAGATACGGATATTGTTATTACAGATAGACTATCACGTGTGACAATTCTTACTTGTGAAGTAAGTAACTGATCTTACAAAATAAATTGTGGTGACACTTAAATTAACACGTGGATGTTTTGTTATAGAACAAAACATTAGAGACCCACTAAGAGATTTCACATAGATAATCATTTGAGTTTCAGTTGTTAATTTCTAACGTTTGATAGTGGAATTGGTCATTTGACTTGAAGTCGTCATAGTGCCTTATATGAGGACTGTTTATACTTTGACAGTGTTGGATGTTGCTCTGTCAAGGCCCGCTAATACGTCATCGCTTGGGTATGTCAAGAATTGTATAAAGGTTATGAATGACCAATAGAGGATTTGTCACTGTTAAATAGTAAGAGATTATGATTTGCATTTCATTCAATTAAGTCGATAGGGAAATCCTTGGCCAAGGTATACTCAAAAGTCGAAAATGAGTTTTCGACTTATGTTGACTTAATAGTGGGATGAAAGATATGATCAATAATCGGGATTGACACGCTTTCATATTTTTTAATTGATTGGATCATATTAACAAAATGATTATAATTTTATGGTAAACGAACGACTTTGATTTTGTCATACCATGTGACATTTTCCGTCATATATATTGTCTTGACACATTGCTAAATGTCAATCTAAAACGGCGAGTGTGAATTGGTAATAAATTAAAAGGGTGTTTTAATTTATCAATTTTGATTAAATCAAAATAATGTTTCACGTCGTTAGGCTCGTGATAGAGAACCTGATAGGTCGCACACAAAAAAAGAATTAGAATATTGTAATTTAACAATTAATTAATTTAAAAAGCGTTGGATAAATTAATTAATTGAGTTGTTTATTTATAGGCCTGAATTAATTAATTTGATTATTTAATTCACGGATCGAATTTAGTTAAATGGGTTAATTAAATACTGAATCGGGTCAGGCCAAGCCCGTTTGGGCTTATATGAATATGACTAGGGTTTTCAAAATCTGTAGAGAATTTTATTATTCTTGCTAGCACAAGAAAAAAACTATAATTCTACAATCTTGTTCTCTGTGTGGATCACCGTTGGAGGTTGGACAATTAGACAACTATGGATGACAGATCATGGTTTTTGGAACGAAAGAATAGCAAAGGAGTTTGTAGAATCAAAGCAAGAATTATAAAGGAGTTTGCAGATCTATAAAAAGATACAACTTTTATCACAATTCCTATCTAAATACAAAGATGAATCCTAGTAGGAATCAAAAACTGTTTTATTTTTCGTTGTGCATGATAAGTAGATTCTCAACAAGAGTTATCTTCTTGGAAAGAAATCAAAGGCATCTAAATTTGTTGGTGTCATTGATGATGGTCAAGGTGCTGCGGCCACCACTCTCCATATGAATGTAAGTGTTATGCTTTAACTCTAATCAACTTTGGACATAAACACTTTTAGTATATAGTTGATGCAATTTTTATGGCAAATTTACTATTTAATTAATATTCAATTGAATTAAATAATAAAGTCTGTAGATTCAAATTTCGGTAATTTGTTAATCACAAGGAATTGTGATTGTAAGATGCAAATTACATAAAATTGAATCTTAAATTATTCGAGGTTAGAAGTAATAGCAAGATACGAATATCGTTATTACAGATAGACCACCACGTGTGGTATTTTTTACTTGTGAAGTAAGTAGCTAATCTCACAAGTTAAAGTATGGTGCACCTAAATGAACGCGTGAGTGTTTTGTTATAGAACAAAACATTGGAGACCTGCCAAGAGATTTCACATGGATAACTATCTGAGTATCAGTTATAAATCTCTACGTTCGGTAGTGAAATAGGTCATTTAACTTGAGATTATCATGGTGCTTCATATGAGGACAGTCATATTTTGACGATATTGGATGTTGCTCTACTAAGGGCCGTTAGTACGACATCGTTCGGGTATGTCAAGAATAGTATGAAAGTTGTGAATGATCAAAAGATGATTCATCGCTCTTAGATAATAAAAGATTAATTAATAGGATTAATTGATTATTTAATTGTTTCTATCCGTATCCATTTGTATAAAATAGTTTAAATGACCTTAATTCCTAGGAACTTGAAACATAATTGCATATAATATTATATATTATATAGGAATGTATTTATGTGTTGAATGGTTAATTTCATTCTTGTCGTTTTATGGGTTTGTGAGCTCTTAATTGTTTTAGACTCACGAGTCTGTTACTGTTGTTATTATTGTGGGCCTGTGAGCTCTTAATCATTTTGAACCTACAAGTCTATTATTGTTATTGTTAATATGGGCCTGCGAGTTCAATTTCATTTAGGCTTACTTGTCAACTAGTATAAGATACATGTTCCAGATGGACAAATTGAGGACATAAGAAGAGGAAGAGACCATTTAGGCCTACTTTTAGGAATTATATTTGCTTTAAATTTGAATTTCATTTACTTCCTGAACTAAACTTGAATTTTATTTCAATTCATTTAATTTCTATATTCAATTTAATTTACTCAATGTTAGCTCAACATTTGCCAATGAAATGATAAACAAAAGTAAACAAGTAGCAAAATTTATTTAATAATATTAATAATAATGTAATTATACTACGTTTTCAAAGTGTATTTACATATAAACTTATTTTCGTTAACAGTTCATTAAAAAAATTATTTTTAATATTTTGACCCCGCAATAATAAAGGTCTGAGTCCACCCCTGGTCTTCCTTATGGCTTGGGAAAACTAGATAGTAAAAATTCATTATCATCCACACTATTATATATATATACACAATGAGACCTTTGACTGCAAAACCCCTCAATAAAATATTAAGTCACATTTTATATTCGTCTTCCATCATTATTATAGTGAAGAATCAGAGTCCTCAATTGATCTCAACTTGTTAAGTACTCTCAAAGTTGGTCTATTATAGATATGTTTGACACTATGAAATATTACATATTTCTGAATGATAGGTCCTACTTAACTACAACTTATTTTTTGTTGAGTACACTCAACGAAATAAATTTTAGAGGCATATTAAGCTAACACATAAGTGTATGTAGACAAAGTTGTCAGTTTAATGAGTTGCATAGAGATACAATTGATAATAGTATCTACCCAAATATTTTATTAAAGCTTGTTGAGTACATTTAAGGTCTTAATATTAACAAATGAGATCCTAGTCCATTGGGAGTCATGTATTGATTCCATAAATTTGTGCGAAAGGGTCATAAATTTGAGCTAAACTGTGGGAGTATAAATAATTTAATAAAAGTTCATATTAAATTAATTAATACATTTTATATATTATTCTTTTTTTTTGTCATTATATTTATTGAATCGTGATAACCATATGTATTTGAGTGGCACAGTAGATGCCAACAACCAATTTAAATTTTCTTGATTGGCACCACAACTTGAGAATTGTTCTCAAGCATGAGAAAATTAGTCATGTCCTTGAGTAGTTCTTTCTAGAGACACCTACTGATAACTCGATTAAGGAAGATGTGGCTACTATAATAAACGTTTTGATGACGATAGTACTGCACATGTGCGATGCTTGCAACTATCTTACCTGAGTTACAAAAGCAACATGAGATTATTGATGCTAACACATTATTTTTCATTTCAAAGAATTGTATGATAATAATTATATGTGGAAGGAGATGAGAGTTCCAAGCAACTATGTTGATGCAAAATGATAGAGGAATCTTCAGTCATTGCTCAGATATTGAAGATGATTGATATTGAGAAGTGTCTCAATTGAGTTCAA